TGTGCAAGTTAATATGAATATCAAACAGAGCCTATGAAAACAACATTATTATTTCCATCGTGAGTCTCCCTCTGGGCTACTTTGGTTGTCATACTCTCTGAATCTACTTATTCACCAGCTTTCACACTGGGTCAGCCATTCTGCTGAGGGGATCAGAGATGGAAAGAGGGAGTAAGCCCAGTCCAGTCGTTGGAGGAAACAGGGCCAGGCAGGAGTCAGTTTGGAGGGCTTTCCACCACGATGCTTCGAGACACATCTGACGACTGTCCCTCTGCTCCTGACGGCACATGATTCTGGAAGGGCAGAGCTAAGCCCTGAGCCAGGAAATACGTTTGCTCGAGTGAAGGCCATGAGGACTAGAGCAGGAGTGCTTGGGGCCAGCACTCTGTGCTGCCACAGAACCTTCTCCCTCGCCAAGGTGATCCGTGTATCCAGCGTATCTGCCGCAACCGAAGACAAATGCATCACAACCATATCTGTTAGCTAAAACATTGACTAAGGTTGTCCTTTAAAATGGAGTACACCTCGAGGCACCTGGGTGGCTCAGTCGGTTGAGCATCTGACTTAGGCTCAGGTCATGATCTTACAGTTTATAAGTTCGAGCCCCGTGTCGGTCTCTGTGCTGACAGCTCAGAGCCTGGAGCCTGCTTCGGGTTCTGTATCTCCCTCTCTCTCTGCCCCTCCCCCACTCACACTCTGTCTCTCTCTTAAAAATAAGTAAACATTAAAATAAATAAATCAATAGAGTACACCTCCTGGAAGGGAAGAGAAAAGAGGAGTAGCATAATGTCAGGCCTGCTTCAAAGAAAAATGTCACACTTGCTGGATGGTGTGAGGGCTTCAGGACAGGAGGCTGTCAGGGAGCACCACCAGGGCAGCGGATTCCGTAGGAACAGTGACCGATGCTGACGGCCAGTTAAGTGGAGACCGCCAAAACAACAGATACAGTTTAACTCTTAGAGTTGCAGCCACAAATCCTAGTACAGCAAAAAAAATTGGTTTGCGAGCACAATTCATTCCGGAAATGTGCTTGTAATCCACAGCACTTTTTATGTCAAAGCGATTTCCCCATAAGAAAACAATGGAAACTCAGATGATTCGTTCCACAACCTAAAAATACTCATATAAAAATGATTACAATCCTGTAATAGCATACAAAATAATAAAGAAAGTACAAACTATGAAGAAAAAGAAACAAATTAACCTGCACTTACCTGTGAAAACCTTGGTGGCTGGTGTGAGGAAGACGTGAGAGAGGAGGGTTATTGTGTAGGAGAACTTTCACTACCACTAATGGAATCACTGCTCTCTATTGGCCCGATGGAATCTCTTTCTGCATGGTGGCCACTGTATGCGCTCGCACATATATAGTACGGTGTTAATAGACTCTTGTGATGCACTGAGTTTAATGTAACTGGCAATACGGCAGCAGAGGAAAGGGTCCCTATCTGCAGGCAGCCTGATAGAATGAAACAAAGCATCCTAAGCTTCCTCTTATGTGGAAAAGCAAAGAACTGTCCATAGGTGCTTTGAAGTGACAAAAAATACACTAGTGTCAGTTGTGGGCACCTTCCAATGTTCTGAGAAATCACTGATTTCTGACAAACACCATGGCCTGAGACCGCGCTTCCAAGCATGGGAGACGATCACCCACAATCCTGCAGAGAGAGAGAGAGAGAGAGAGAGAGAGAGAGAGAGAGAAGAACCATTGGCTCAGCTGTGATTATGTGACATTCGGCATCACATACTACTTGTATTGCAAGACATCGCTCTTTATCAAGTTCAGATGTATTAGAAATGTTTGCTTGTCATGTGGAACACTCGCAGAACGAGTTACATTCAAGGTTTTACTGTATTTGGAACATGCCTCAGGTAAGAAACAGGTGAGATGTACTGACAGGCATTCCCGTCCTGGCTTCATCACCAACTTGCTTTGGGAACTTGGACTCTAACGTGCTCAAAGCCTCAGTTTGCCTATCTGCAAATTGGGGCCAACAGCATCTGTTCAACTTACCTAATAGCAATATTATGAGAATAAAACAAAACAGACGATGTGAAGCTGCTTTGTCAATGTTCAGAGTTCTGTACAAACGGAAGCTATTCCAGATATTCCCACTCTCCAGGCTCAGGTCTGAAACAAACAAATACTAAATCCTTTAGAGATGCCTGTTCAATACAGTAGCCACTTATCACATTGGCTATTGAGCATTTAAAATGTGACTAGTGCAACTGAGGAACTGACTTCTAGAGTTTACTTACTTTTAATGATTTAAGTTGAAAAACTGATATTTGATTCAGTATTGGAAAGCCATTAAGTATGTTTGGAACAGCCTGAGTAGGTGAGCCTACTTTTTAAACTGTAAATTTTATGAAATTTAAATACGTATCATTTTGTGATGAGATTTAGTCTTTGAATTGAGATGTGCTACAAGTGAAAATACACACCAGATTTCAGACTTAATGCAAAAAGAAAAGAAGAATGTAAAATATCTTGTAAATAACATTTTAGGGGCGCCTGAGTGGCTCAGTTGGTTAAACGTCCGACTTTGGCTCAGGCTAAGATCTCACAGTTGGTGGGTTTGAGCCCTGTGTTGGGCTCCATGCTGACAGCTCAGAGCCTGGAGCCTGCTTTAGATTCTGTGTCCCTCTCTCTCTTTGCCCCACCCCTGCTCTCTCTCTCTCTCTCTCTCTCAAAAATAAATAAATAAAATTTTACATCAATTACATATTGAAATAATATTCTGTATATATTATATGAAATAAAATATCATTAAAATTTTATCTTTGTACTTACCTTTTTTTATAAAAATTTTTAAGTTTATTTACTTAATTTGAGATAGAGGCAGAGAGAGCAGGGAGAAGGGCAGAGAGAGAGAGGGAAAGAGAGAATCCCAAACAGGCTCCCCACCATGAACACAGAATCCTACACAAGGCTTGAACCCACAAACCGCGAGTTTAAGACCTGAGCTGAAGCCAAGAGTCAGACGCTTAACCGACTAAGCCACCCAGGTATCCCTGTACTTACTTTTTTAAAATTTAAATTTTAGTTAACATTCAGCACAATATTGTTTTCAGGAGTAGAATCCAGTACAACACATAGAATTCACTTACATATGACGCCCACTGCTCATCACAAGTGCCCTCCTTAATACCATCACCCATCCAGCCCATCTCCCACTCACTTCCCCCCCATCAATCCTCAGTTTGTTCTCTGTCATTCAGAGTCTCTTGTGGCTTCCTCTCTTCTCTTCCTCCCTGCCCTCGCCTCGCATATGTTCATCTGTTTTGTTTCTTAAAACCCGCATACAAGTGAATCATAATGTGTTTGTCTCTCTCTGATTAACTTATTTCACTTAGCATAATACGTTCTAGCTCCACCCACATTGTTGCAAATGGCAAGATTTCATTCTGTTTGAAGGCTGAGTACTCTTTCATTGTGTATATACACCACATCATGCATGATGATCCATGCATCAGTCGATAGACATTTGGGTTCTCTTCATAGTTTGGCTATTGCTGATAGTGTTGCTGTAAACATTGGCGTGCATGTACCCGTTCAAATCTGTATTTTTGTATCCTTTGGGTAAATAGCTAGTGGGGTCATTTCTGCATCAGGTTTTAATTTGTATTTCCTTGATGTCTCTTTTTTTTTAATGCTCAGCCCAGCACGTGGCACATGGTTATTCTCTCTCTTTTTTAAAGTTCCTGTACTTATTTGTTGAAGTAATCTTACACCCAGTGTGGGCCTCAACTCACTACCCGAATGCTCTTCCAACTCAGTCAGCCAGGCACACCCTGTTTGTACTTATCTTTTTAAAAAGTATTTTTTAGTGTTTTGTGTTTGTTTTATTTACTTTTGAGAGAGAGAGAGAGAGAAAGTGAGAGTGGGGAAGGGGCAGAGAGAGAGGGAGACACAGAATCCCAAGCAGGCTCCAGGCCCTGAGCTGTCAGCACAGAGCTCGACACGGGGCTGGAACCCAGGAACCTCGAGAGCATAACCTGAGCAGAAGTCAGACACTTAACTGACTGAGCCACCCAGGTGCCCCTTAAAGTGACTTTTAAAAAATTTAAAATGACATGACGGCTTGCACTCTATTTGGAAATACCACTTTAGAAAGAACCAGTGAGCCAGGGATCTTCACTTCCCTGTAGGAGCGAAGGAGAGAGGTTGCAGAAATACATTCCCTGATCCCAGGCAAAGTGCTGGCACCATTTCCTAGGTTTCTGAGAATCAATAGCAGAAACAGAACAGCGCAGAGCTGGGTGGGGTTGATTCCCTGCTTGATTCCTTTCCATGTTCAGGCTCAAAATACACCATCTTAAAACTTCTATTGCTGTTGCTACCTTGGTAGAATGAGACCGTCGCTGTTAGCTGGGCTTGCATCTGGGAACCACAGCATTTTAATGTCTGGGAGATTTCAGGCGGAAACTGGTGTCATGAAGACATTTTTTTTTTCTTTTAAAAAAATTTTTTTAATGTTTTATTTATTTCTATGAGAGAGAGAGAGAGAGCGTGAGCAGGGGAGGGTCAGAGAGAGGGAGTCACACTCTGAAACAGGCTCTGCAGGCTCTGAGCCGGCAGTCAGCACAGAGCCCGACGCGGGGCTCGAACCCACGACCCGCGACATCATGACCTAAGCGAAAGTCGGACGCTTAACCGACTAAGCCACGCAGGCGCCCCAAGATAGTCTTCAAATCAGTGTGAACTTAACTTCTTCCGCTTCTGCTCTTTCAAAGGTTACCTTAGACCCAACGCGTGGTGGAAATTCAACCTCGCAGGGTTTGCTCCTCTCCAGGTTTGAACCGTTTCGTCCCGAGCGGCCTCGTTTCCCAAACGCGTTGCGCGCAGAGCGCGGGAGCGGGACGCGAGGGGAAGCCGGGCTGCCAGCACATCTGGAAGTGGTTTCAGGGGCCGCCTCGCCCGCCGCCCAGCTGCTCGGCGCAGGGGTGGAGGAAACCCGAGCCGCTGCAAAGTCAACGCAAGCAAGGGGGAGGGGGGCGGCGAGGGGGCAGGGGCAGCGATCCTCTCTCGGAAGCGCAGTTTTGGCCTCGGAGCTCTCCGGCGCCACGGGCTTTCCAATGGGCTGTTAGAAGCGGCCGCCGCAGCCCGGGGCCGGCCAGGAGGGGGACGCTCTGCGCGGCAGCTCTGGACCCCGGCGCCCTCGCCGCCCAGCAGGTAAACAGAAACGGGCCGGCGCGCGCCAGCCTCTCCGTTCCAGCCCGGCCCGCCCGCCGCACCCTTTCTCTCCGTAGACTCCGGGTCGGAAATCAGAGGTGGACCGTCCCACGAGATCTTTGCCTTCAGGAGCTCCCGGCCAGTGTTTGCAGCATGCCGAGGGAGCTTTTTTTTTTTTATTTTTTTACTTTTTTGCCATTGCAGCAAACCCAGGATACTCAGAGTGCACATGCTGGCCGACTGGTTTTTTTCCAGACCTGCGTGGAACCCCCTTGCCCAGGGTGACTTATTATTTTCATCCTATTTTATTTTTTTTTAATGTTTTATTTATTTCTAGGAGACAGAGAGAGAGACAGCGTGAGCAGGGGAGGGTCAGAGAGAGAGGGAGTCACGGACTGAAACAGGCTCCAGGCTCTGAGCTGGCAGTCAGCACAGAGCCCGACGCGGGGCTCGAACCCACGAACCGCGAGATCTTGACCTAAGCGAAAGTCGGACGCTCAACCGACTAAGCCACCCAGGCGCCCCTATTTTCATTATATTTTAATGGAAATCAGTGGTTAGGTCGGACGGGATAAATGCTAGTCTTTAAATGCAGGTACATTTCTGAGCCACAAAAGATTAAAAAAATTTTTTTTAATGTTTATTATTTATTTTGGAGAGAGAGAGAGAAAGACAGAGTGAGAGCAGAGAAGGGGCAGAGAGAGAGGGAGGGAGACACAGGATCTGAAGCAGGCTCCAGGCCCTGAGCTGTCAGCAGAGCCAGAAGCAGGACCCAAACTCACAAACCATGACAAAGTTGGATGTTTAGCAGGCTGAGCCACAAAAGATTTAATTGAGCTGTGATTCACGTTCTCAGAAGCTGTCATAGGAAGCTATTCATAGGGCCCCCATTCTAAAAAAAGGAATTGGTAGTTGTGGAAAATTTAAGTGAAGCTTATTATAAATGCAGTAATCACAGTGTTTGGGTTCAAAATGCTCTTTTAACATTCAAAAACTGTCTTATGCTCACTTTATGAATGAATGTAGTACATTGGATAAGCCTGATATGGCCTGGTATGTAACTTATGATATGAGTTAAGAAGGAACAGTTGAGGGGGCGCCTGGGCAGTTCAGTCGGCTAAGCATCTGATTTCGGCTGAGGTCATGATCTCACGGTTCCTGAGATCAAACCCCCACATCGGGTTCTGGGGGGAGACCATGGCCCTGGCTCCAGGTCACAGAGTCGAATCTACGCGTTGCCACTTACAAGCTTTATAAGCTTTGACTCGAGTAGTTACTTGTCTGTGCCTCTATGTCCTCATCTGGAAAATGGGAATTAAGTGACGTTGTATGTCTATAGGACGTAACACAGTATCTGCAGGGTAGTGAGGCCTCAGGGAAGGGTTAGCTTCTTTGGTGGTGCTGATGATGACCCTGGTGATGATGGAAGTGACCACACGCCCTGCGCTGGGTGGCCGGCCAGCGTTTGGCACATTGTTCCCTCTGATAGTCCAGTCTTCCAAGTGTTCCTCACTTCCTCACATGTTATTTCTCCAGAGCCCTGCTTTCTTCCTTCCTCCTTGCAAACGCTGCTCTTTCTTTTCTTTTTTCTTTCTTTTCACCCTGTCACTTTTTATTTCTTCTTTGTTCTCTTTCCTTCCCGAGAGAAGCACATGCTAAATTAAGCCACAGTTCTCATACTCTTCATTCTCATTGCCAGGGAGCATGATACTAAATACTTCTTCTATTTCAGCATTTCCCAAAGATTGTTCTGAAGAACACAGTCCCATGGGGAAGATGTGTTCGGTGAACCATATCACATTTCGAGAAATCTCAAGGCATAATGGCATTTTAAAGGTCCTGAGAAGTCCTGCAGTAGAGAGGTCTGCTTAAGGTTGTTTAACACAGAAGTTCCCAGTTGACCCCTGAACCGTTTTTCCACATAACATCGATGAGCATTTCTCAGAGCACAGTCTGCAAACATCTTCCTCTGGCCCCATTGTTTTCATTTCAGTTCTTCTTGTAGACATTCTACCCCACCCCTCCCCTGGCAGACACCCAAGCAGACAGGGTGTTCTTCTTTCCCTAGGTAAGGACATGAGCTTGATCTCCTGTGCCATAGCGATATCTAGAAAATCTGGCCTGAAGTGGAGACCTGGGATCAGCAGTTTTTCTGCGAAGGGCCGGGCAGGTGGCTCTGCAAACCTCGCGGTCTGTGTCGTGCCTCCTCAGATCTGCTGCTGTAGTGTGAGACTGGCCTTCGAGAAAACATGAAAGAATAAGCCTGGCTATGTTCCAATAAGACTTTATTTACAGAAGCAAAAACACAAAAAAACACAAACAGCAACCCCCCCGTAACGTTGATACCTGCTCTAGTGCCATTTTGTGAAAGAATGCCTCCCTCCAGCGCAGGAGAAAGCGGAACAGAGCCTCCAAACGTCCCCCCTCCCCCCCACCCCCCGCACCTGGCTCCCCCATCCCGTGTCTTTGGGTCAATCTTGAGTAAGCCTTCGTGCTAGAGCAAAGAAGTAAAAGGCCAGATGTTTTATTAGAGGCCAGGTTCCTGAGGCCCGATGCTGTCCTTCTTTCTCTTTTCTTCAGGTGAATCCACGCTTTTGTCCTGCTCATGGCTCACTTGTTGGCCTGGGTTGAGAGGAAGGGCTCTATTAAATGTTTTGTGCCGTGCGTGACCTTCAGGGTGCAGGGCCTGTGGGTGGGAGGTTAAGTCACAGAGCTTAACATCCGTTGCTTGACACATAATGATTGCACCCAGCAATGGAAAGTGGTCGGCTCTGGAGATGGTTGAGAATGTGGACTCAGAGCCAGACCGCCTGGGTGTGAGTCTCTGCCGCTCGTTAATTGCGTCACCCTCCCTGAACTTCAGTTTTCTCATCGGTAAATCGGGGTAATCGCTTTACGGATTGTTGTGAGGTCTGAATGAGCGAACGTACAGAAAGGCTGTTATGTAAGTGCTACCTATTATTACCATAGGCTGTTTAATGAAGTCTGCAGCGCAGTCTCATTTTGCTCATGAGGTTTTATAAACTGCCCGGGATTGCATGGCTAAGGAATGGGGCGACAAAGCCCATGATCTTTCCACTCAGGTAGGTGCCCTGCCAGATTTAAATCACTCAACAATCGGGGCGCCTGGGTGGCTTAGTCGGTTAAGCGTCCGACTTTCGCTTGGGTCATGATCTCGCGGTTCGTGGGTTCGAGCCCCGCGTCGGGCTCTGTGCTGACTGCCAGCTCAGAGCCTGGAGCTTGTTTCAGTCTGTGACTCCCTCTCTCTCTGACCCTCCCCTGCTCACACTGTCTCTCTCTGTCTCCTAGAAATAAATAAAACATTTAAAAAAAAAATAAATCACTCAACAATATCTTTAAGGAGCCCTCTCTTTTACCTTTCCTTCTGATTTCCAGATTCTTTCCTACTCCTCCTCGCCTGGACCCATAGCAGGCAGGATTAATCAATAAGAGCTCTTTCTTTACCTTCTTTTTCTTTCTTTTCTGGTGATAGCTTTAGATTCCTTCTCAATTTAGCAATACTGAAAGCCCCTACCGACTGATTAGAGCTGGCATGTAGAGTAACACTTAGGGACTCTGATTTTTGAAATATATTTCTGGAGCCCTTCCCACTTTTGCCTTTTCTTCCAAGGCAGAGCTCAGTTGCTTAGCCACTGCCAAGTCTTAAAACATTCTTTCCAGATTTGGCCACGGACCCAAACTCCTTGGCCTTTGGTAAAATAGTTCCCTGTGTAAGGTCTTCAAGGGCTTGTGGTTTTTTTTTTTTTAATTAAAAAATTTTTTTAATGTTTATTTATTTTTGAGAGAGACAGAGCATGAGCTGGGGAGGAGCAGAGAGAGAGAGAGAGAGAGAGAGGGACACTGAATCCGAAGCAGGCTGTAGGGTGCAAGCTGTCAGCACAGAGCCTAACCTGACGCAGGGCTTAAACCCACAGACCATGAGATCATGACCTGAGCCAAAGTTGGACGATTAACCAACTTTAACTGACGGAGCCACCCAGGCGCCTTTCAGACACCCATTTTTAAACCTAACAGACACTTCTCGGGTCCAGACCAATTCCCTAAACTCTCCTTTTCTTTCTAGTCACAGGCTCCAGGACCTTAGCCTTCTTTCCTGCACTCTTTGACGGTGCCACCATCCAGTCCCTTTCCCAGGACAGTCTTCTTTCCAGCACTGGCTGTGAGGCCCCCTCTTTCTTCCTATCTCGAGGACGAGCCCACAGACTCCTTCATGCCTAAGGCCTGGCTATTTACTGCTACAGAGAAAACACCGCACAGAAAGGCACTCAGCCTAGGAAAGCTTACAAAGGAACAGGGGACATGGTTCCTCGAGCTTCTTGTTTTTTTTTTTTTTTAATGTTTTATTTATTTTTAGGAGAGAGACAGAGACAGCGCGAGCAGGGGAGGGTCAGAGAGAGAGGGAGACACAGACTGAAACAGGCTCCAGGCTCTGAGCTGGCAGTCAGCACAGAGCCCGACGCGGGGCTCGAACCCACGAACCGCGAGATGATGACCTCAGCGAAAGTCGGACGCTTAACCGACTAAGCCACCCAGGCGCCCCTCGAGCTTCTTGTTTTGATGGTCAGTAAAAGGCTGGTAAGAAGACCAGAGCCCTATGCTTTTATTCCTGGTCTAGATCGACAGTCCCTTTCTTCTGGCTTTTGTCCTCCATAAAGGTATGCTCTCCCCTTTCCTCTGGGGTTGAAGAACAGAACAAGAGCCCCTTTCCCTTCCTTCCTCTCTCCTGTTGCTCACACATTCATTCCACACACATTTGCTGAGGCACACAGAGGTGGGCGAGCCTCAGTGCCTGTCCTCGGTCACCTCATGGTCTAGTGGAGGAGACAGGCACATTCATCATATTAGAACAGTTCTGAGGACAGGGATAAGGATAGGAACGAAGATCAGCGGAGCAGCCAGGCAGGGGAATCAGGTAGGACTTCCTGAAGGTGGTGATGCCTGCACTGAGTCTTTAACAAATAAGTAACAATCCACTGGGG